AGATTTGGTGAAAACAGCTGTGGCGCCAAATGGCGCCAGCGCTAAAAACGGGTGTCGTTTTCCGTAATCAGGACCCCAAATAACCCCAAATGACGAAGTTTCAGCAGATTTGGTGAAAACAGCCGTGGCGCCAAATTGGCGCCAAACGGCGCCAAACGGCGGCGCGCGCTAAAAACGGGTGTCGTTTTCGTAATCAGGACCCCAAATAACCCCAAATGACGAAGTTTCAGCAGATTTGGTGAAAACAGCCGTGGCGCCAAATTGGCGCCAAACCAAATGGCGCCAAATGACACCAGCATCAAAAATGAATGTCATATTCGTAATCAGGGCATCGAATTACCCCAATAGACAAAGTTTCGACGAAAAATGAAACTTTGAGATTTTGGGGCAGTAATCGTGGGATAGTGATCCGGCAATAGGGGAAGGCTGAAAACGGTGAAAAACCAAAGTTTCAACTGGGGAAGTAATGCATATCATTCGATAGCATTTTTCACGGGGAAGCTAACGGGGCACATTTCAGGTCTGCGAGTTCATCTGGAAATGCAAAAAATCTGAACATTCCACAAGGGCATGACGAGGAGGCATGTTTGGGGCCACACCACGGAAGGAACGCTTCACTTGCGACCGAGTTTTCCACATAATTCCTACAGACAAGTGACCATAGTCTACGACAGTGAAGGAAATTCTTCGCTTCCTTTACAGCTTTCTACAAAACATTCCTCTAAAAATGGGACTTGTCACGTAATAGGGGGCAAAGGCATGACAAGGGGTGATGTTTGGGGTCACACCACGGAAGAACGCTCACCTGCGACCAAGGTTTCCATATAATCCTTACAGACAAGTGACCGTAGTCTACGACAGTGAAGGAAATTGTTCGCTATCTTCACAGCTTTCTGCAAAACATGTCCTGAAAATGGAAAATGTCACATAATAGGCCCACTATGCCTGCTGAGAACTGTTCAAAGATTCCACTTGATATACAGAGGATGGGATATTGAGAGCAGAGGGAACACGTAAAGCTAGTAAGCGCTTGAAAACGAAATGAAGATCTAAGAATTCGGAAAATAACATTCATCTAATCTCACAATGTAGTGGATGAGATTGAGTACGTGGCGCATTCTGGGGTAAGTTTTGAGGCCCTTCTTTGTGTGTAGCGGTTAGCCCGCATAAGCGGGATTATATACACATCACATGCGAGCAACTACTTTTTGAGATGAAAATCGAGTGCATGGCGCATTCCGAAATCAAGCTTTCTGAAAATATTTTAGCACCATCTTGTAGCGCTTGAAGAGCTGAGTTCAACGGTGTTTTCCGTTTCTGGAATACTTCACTCTGACCCGACTTATAACGAATTCACGAAATTAACGAGGATTCGCGTTATTCGCGTGAATTTTCGATTTCAAACGGCGAGTACTGTAGTCGTATACGACTCATCCACACACCTGTTACATTTGTTTTAACACATTGACGACAACGCGAGTTTTGGCTTTTTTGGCCACGTGGGACCGCGGCGATTTTGCGGGCGCGCTCGCCTCAGGTCGTTCAAGCAGATTTTGAGTGATAAATACACAACTAATGATCAATTCAAACCAAATCAGTAAATTGTAATGAGCACAACCTACCAGGGGTACAGTAGTGGAATTTCGATCGAAAGACATGGAATAACAATGAAAAAGCGAAATTTTCAGAACTAGCTGCAATGGACCTCAAAAGCAATTTTACGTTGATTATTCCAATCAAAACACACATATTGTCATCCCTAAGGTTCCTTATCTACTTCTACTACTATTTAAATCTTCACATTAATAAAAAGAAAAAGTAAACGAAAAATTTATTGAAATGAAGATTTCGTATGGTTCAGAAATCCTCCTCTAAATTAAAGCATACGTGACCATTCTAAGGGCCACTATGTTTGTAGCTACGTCAAGGTCTCTTCCATGGAATGAATACAAAGAAACTTCTAAAAGAATCAGGCGTGCGCGAAAAAAATGAGTGTAATGGGTGCGGGGGATATATATCCCGCACGGTCCGACATGGCCTGCAATGCGCGGGATATATATCCCCCGCGTTGTCGTCAATGTGTTGAATTCCAAGACGACTAGTGTACAAATGAACGTTGTGATGAAGAAGCCATTGGTGCATACATCGCTATGAAGTGTCTATCTCCTCTACGAAATTGATGGGTACCATCACGAACTGCGGCTCGTCCGTTGCCCCGCCTGCGTCACCGTCTTCTCGCCACGCGACGAGCCTCCTGTCGGGTATCCTAAATTAAAAATTCCCACATATTTATGGCTGGTTAGCGGATCGAATGTGCTTCTTTAGCCTGGGAGTCGTGTGGTTATGTTCTCATTCACTCCTTCGACGAAACACTGTTCAGCGGATCCGCTGCGATGGATGGCGGCGTTGATATGAATGGAGATGAAATTTTACAGGCAATCTTCACTTAGGAACGACAGTAAATGATCAGCGAGGACATCCTCGTAGTCACTGGAGTTCGTTCCACACTATTCAAAAGCCAGAGACGGCACTGCAGTGGTGCACAATGCCGCCCAGACCATGTAGAATCCGCAGCTGAAGTCTTTCCCTTAAATACGGAGTGGATCTTTTCAAGGATCCTCACCATCACCTGTGATATCCATCCAGTTCGTCTCAGCTACACCTATTCCTTTCGGGAAAAGCAACCCAAACTCAAGGGAGCCTTATTGGTCACCTTAATGAAAAAGCCTTCCTACCCACTACAGTCACCTTCTGAGACACAATTGTACCATCTTCCAAGCTAATTTCCACCAAGTCGAGCTGCTCCGTGATGCTTACCCAGTTGATTGGCCTTCATCATGGACTCTCGCACGATATTTAGAGTCGGCCAGTATTGTCTATTTCGATAAAAAGCTAGATTTTCCGTAAAAATTCTAATTACAGCGATGAACAGCTGCAAAGCGTTTGACCTTTTTCACTAGGTATGCCCACAGAACCTCAAATGAATTGATATTGAAGAAATTACTTTAAAGTGCTCTTGCTTAGTGTGCCCCTCTACTTTTGAAGTTCTCAAACTTCCTTATAAGTTTTTTCTAGGCCTTTTGTAATTAAATAAATTTTTCTTCCTTCTAAAAAATAAAGTGGACTGTGATTACAGTGCATGGAATGCAATAAACTAGGTAGCTAGGAGTGGGTAAGCCATGGATCTTTCATCCTAATCCGGAACACCAGTTTTTAGGGACGCCCATATACCTTTGCAACGCACTGTATTTGGGATGCGAGCTTTACGCGATAACTTGAGGTCAATCCTTCCAACCGCCTCAATTTGATACGCGCCCTTGTGCTTTGTCGCCTAAACAAGCTTTGCCACAATGTAACTGGCTCACCCACTCCGGAATCCCTCCCCCTAAAGGCTTAGTCTTAAGGCTCCCACCTCCTCGCTTGGGATTTGAAGCCATGCCAGACGCTGTTCTCTAATCGTCTGGCTCTGGCCTTTCGAAAAAACAGAGGAGAGACTTCAAGCAGTCACGTAGCCAAATGCGTATGTCGAACTCCAATTTTCTTGCTCTGGCTCTTTCTTAGACGATAGCATGAACGAGTTCGCTTTAGCAATATCGAAAAACACAGGAAAAAACTAGAGGGAATTGAAACCATCCGCGCACTGATAGAGGTTGAATGTCAAGGAGGCCTGTTTTGCGTCCCTGCACAATTAAATTTGAATGACGCACACGGAAACTCGTTGTGAAGTCGCGGCAGCCACCACAAACGCCGGGATCAGGAGCTCGTGCCCACAGCTCCTGGAACAATAGATCGGTGATAAATCCATCTCGTGCGCAGAAAACTCAGCAAGGAGGATCATAACAGGAGCACCGCACTTCTCGCGCTCTAAAAGGTCTCATCGGGTAGAACGAACGTGAACTGTGCTCTTTCATGCGCCACAAATTTTTCATTTAGCGTTCCAAAATTCTCAGGAAATCTTGCGAACACATTTTATGGAAGTTGTTCTTTGCCATAGTGTCTACTAATTCCACTAAAGATTCTCCGAATCTGTGTACTTTTGAAATGGTAGCGATTCGACGCGCGTCATTCTAAGTCATCCTGTGTATGTATAGTGTACCAAAAGCATAGGTTTACCCTTCTTTTCGATGCCTCTTAAACAAGTTGACAATTTCGTTTTTGATTTTGACTAGCGAAAACTATATGTGCTTGAAAGATCTCTGACCATTTTCATTCTTTCAAGGAGTCCATGTAGATCATTCTTTCATTTGTTTCCTTTCCTCTTTTATTCCTTTTCCTGAGCCTCGAGCAAGGTCGAGAGAATTCTCGGGATTGGAGTCCGCGGCGTTGTGTGGATAAATGGTCAACCGCCCGCATCTCTATGAGATTACTTATGAAAGGAATTTGTGAATTTTTCGGAGTGAATTTTTATTTTTAAATCTATTGGCAGTACATCAACGCTGCTCCCCTAAGGTGCGGCCGGTAGAGTTTGGGAAAATCGTTCCTTCGTTAGAGAGATATCGAGCACAGATAAGGTGAATCATGTATTCCTGGCGGATCCTATGCTGGCCGTACGATGAGTTTTCTCAACAGCTTACTTTTGGGTACCCCCAGGAGGCCCGTCGCGCGGCAAGAAGGCAGAGTCGCGGACGAGTTCGCAGCGCGTGATGTGCGATGTAGGACGTGCAATGGACATTCTATTTAACTTGACGCGAAATCCCTACAGTACGCGCGCGACTCGTCCGCTGACTCGCCTTCTTGTCGCGCGACGGGCCTCCTGGGGGTACCCTGCTCCTTTGCGTGGTGCATTGAGGAAATGTTCTCAAGCTGCGCAGAAGAAACAGCTGCTCAGTTACTTTTACAAGCTTTTGATCAATTATTCGAAAAACCTAGTTTTCACATTGGGACCCTGCTCTATATCACAGCGCTAGCGTTATCAGTGATACACTAATGCATCTACTGTTACAGCGAATTCCCGTTTGCTCAATAACTTCCCTTGCCTTCAACTTTTCACAACACGCAACATGACACCAGGACCGATCACCGACTGGATTTGGGGAGGATTGAATTATCAGGCAAGTGTTTTTGGAGTCGCAAGGCATCGTGCCCAGTTTGCTTGGTCTTTATTTATTGCTTGCTCAGTACGTCATAATACGTGACTCTAGAGAGGTACAACAAAAAATAAGAACGAACGAATGGATCAGTTGATTGTCATACATATGTACACGGCACCAATATTTATTGAAAAAGTAATGCAAGATCAGATTAGATACAAATTTCACATGCAGCTTTTTTCTCAATGACACAATGCGACAAGTATGTTCTAGTTATGTGAGAACTAAGCTGCACTTACAGTGACCTTGCTAGAAGCGCTCATAATTAATGGTTCATCAAAGCGTTTCTAAACTCTTTCAAATTGAATATTTTATTATTCGTGGTTTTCAACGTGACTAAACACACACTCGCGTGGTTTGTGGGCGGCAACCCACGCATGAGTGTGGTCCACTGCATATAATAAACGTCATTAATCCCTTTGCAGGGATCTCCTAAAGTGACACTGGTGGTCTCATCAATGTCGTTTGTATTAGTGTCTTATTATCTTTGGTAACCTAACCTTTTGGTAGTGTCCCTTCTAATTAAGACCACTAACTTCTGTATGTAAGTAGTTCATGTCTGCTAGAATGAGTTCGTAATATCTAGCTTCTAGTCCCGCATTTCAGACGATGAGCAGGTTGTTGAGGTATGGGTGGAAGGTGGCGGCACGGCGACAGCGATATTGAAAGTAGGCTCACGCGCGCATAACGTATTGTAACTGTGACTCATAATAATATTATATTGTTATAATTTATAGTTATAACTAACTAACATATTAACAACTTACTCTCACGCGAATACT